ACTGGCTTTATTAAAGTTGATAAAATGATTCTTGCGGAGTTACGTAAATTATTGTGGAATTTAAATCATCTACAATAGAATTTTTTACTTGGTATAAATGTGAGCTTATCGAAAGTTTCAAAGTAACTAGAACAATATTTATAATATAAAATATTATATTTAAAGTTATTTAAGTAATAATTTATTATATAAATAGTTAATTATAATTGAGAAGTGAGAACCCAAATGAAATAAAAGAATCTGTGACACGTGTATATATATAAATTTGAAATTAATTTCATCTTTTTTTGCTCGATATTTGGCCCATTTATTTTTAAATCCTATCTTAAAAATGTTTCGTTGACGGATTTTGGCGAATGCAAATTTTTGTTATCTCACTCATATTAATTAATTTAAAAAAAAATGAAATTAAAAGCTGCGACCGAGCATATTAATTAAATAATCTCATGACTATTTCGTTCAGAGCGTCAAGAAACAGATTAAAAATTTAAAGAAACTTTGTTAAAATTCATCGAAAGGTTTTGTGCTTTGACATTATTTGTTCTGGACTGTGCAACGATCTTTTTGTCTGTATACTAACTGTTCCAAACGCGTAACTTTTACATAATTGTATGGATATGATGAGGCATTTAATATCGTGACTAATATCGAATATTTCTTGGAATATTAGGCGATTTTTTATGTTCGAAAGTGCAACGTCCGCGTCAAATATGACACGACGAAATTGGATTCCCATTACCTCATGAAAATGCTGAATAAGAACGATCGAATTGAGAAACGCGTCGATAAGTTATGATAGTTTCATCGTTTGATTTCGATGAAGATCGTTTCATCGTTTTAATTAATTAATTAATATCTCTTCTAGACTCCAGGCTACCTTTAAAAAAACAAAGCAATATATAATGAGAATCGTAGCAAGCGTAGATTAAAGGTAATAATTGAACGGAATATAAAAGTAGAGATATCTCAGTTACTATAAATATTTTTAATTTTTACTTTTTGAAAGCAAAATCACAGCTACATACGATGTGGTTCCATATTCATTAATATAATAATAATAATAATAATATTAATAGAGCCTACACATTCGCCTTGTAAGTTCGAAGGCTACAAGGTGGATGTGATAGGCAAAACTTCAAATAATAAAAATAATAATAATAATAATATATAGAGAATAATACATAGAATAATGCCCGCATGCTTGCTGTGTAAATTCGAAGGCTACAAAGCGAGCGTGACGGGCAAAATTAAACAGTAATAATATTAATAATATAATAATAGATAAAATTATATAATAGCTTCTTCTCTCTTAGATCCATACATGGATATTTTAGCACTAACGATCATACGATAGAATCTCTCTAGCTTTTTTCGAATAATAATACGCTCTACTAGTATACTGTTTCGCTTCATTCTTATCTTACTACCGTTTTCGGACAATGACCACGTTATTATATATGTATATCTCATATTATATAATAATATATATAATAATATTTATAAATTATATATATTATGTATATAATAAAAAATTCATATTTATAAGGCAACCATACATCGTTGTTACTAAATCTCTCTCTCACTCTCTCTCTATTTCTCACTCAACATTCAATCAAAATTCACCTCTCGCAATTACATTCCAAGCAGATGAATTTTGCTCATTCTCATTCAACTATTCCTATTGTTTTCTGTTCGCTCTCTTTTCTTTTTCTCACGCATCCCTCGAGCCTAAATACTAAATAAATATTATACAGATTTGTCTATCGACCACATGCTGAATCTTCCATAGTCCCGCGCAAGTGTCTCTTGACTTAATATAGCAAAACAGTACTTCGATTTTTACAGCGTGGTTTTATGGCACTTGTTTAATGGCTGGACTCTAGCCTCTCCACGTTCCCGATGCGAACGATATCTTCTGAGAACGATACCTTTTTTTGTTTTCTTCTTTTGCTTCTAAGATTAGTATCCACTTTGATATCGCGTTACATCGTTGATACGACACACGATACCACAAGATCGACGAACTTTCCTCATAATTTTTAAACTGCCGCGTAAGGACGACGCACCGTCGACGTGGACAGGATCGATGACTATCGACTTGCTATGGAATGCTACTATTATAATATTTCAGGAAAACTATTAGAACATTGAGATCCTCGATTCACTTTCGAGGGCTCGATCGAAATGTAAATCGGTTCCCCTAGAATAATCGTGATCGATCCGTCTCACTTGGTTGTTTACGTGTTCAGTAGTATGAAATGAAAAATCGTAAGAATTAAATGTAACCTTTTAAATTTTAATATTTCGTAAACTTTACTGTTTGTATTGTTGCTTCGAAAATTTCACTAATATATATTTTTTCATAATTATTGGGTTATACGGATGAGATTTTTAATTAAATAAACAATTTTGTCATTATTTATCAAGGTGTTCATTTTGATACATAATTATCTTATAATTATTTACCTCACAGTTATTGTCGCTACGTAATTATAATTTTCCTCTGCAGATAAACGTACTGTCAAAGATAAAATACGATTTTTTATTACAATGTTTTTGATATGACATTTGATGAGATTTTTTTACTTAAGAAATTATTTATATTTTTGCCAGGTTTTGGACTTTGACTTTGATATCTTCTTGTAATTTTAAATTTATAGTCGACCAATGTCTACTTACAATCATAAATTAGAGCACATGTTGGCTAATCACTTAATAAAAAAACAGTGGTGGTGATATCTTAATTGGGAGCAGACACATTTTGGTGACATCACAAAATGTAAATGTCTTCATGATATATTCAAAGACTAAACGTTCCAAAGTATTTTTGCTGTTGCAACATTGTGTGAGAGAGATTATTTTTACCGAAAATATTAATTACAGCATACGCGCAAACAGATTTCACATCAACAAATTGTTGAGTGAAATCTTGAATACAATTCCAAGAAATCTTTTGCAAAATACTCTATACAATCAAATTTTAATGTGAAAAATCAAAAAAGTTCTCGGCGATGATAAATTGTACACATTAAATATTTTTTTCTTTTAAACAAATTATAGACATTTCATAAAAAATATAAAAACGTTAGAAAATGGCCATTTAAATATTGGCGACTACACTCTGCGGCATTTTATCTAGTTGTAGTATCTTTAAGGCACTAACATCTTCCATTTACTATTAAATCTATGATCGTTTTTCGGCCAGTCGGTTAAAAATCGGAGAAAAATCCAACTTATTGGGAATCATTTGATATGATCATCGAAATCGATGATTGTTTTAAGAAATTGTTATCCTCAGAATTAACTATCTTTCAGAATTAGAATTCAATCTTCTCTCGTTTGATCTATTGATGTAAACGTAATTAATTGCAATTATGGTAATCTGTTCCGAAATTCGATCATAACTACAAATGAAATGTAGGTCTAACAGTGTGATCTGATTATCAATTAGGTTCTGCTGCTATATTGAACGAATAGTTTCTATTGCGTATCCATTGTTCGTTAAATTGCTAAGGCACAGTTCTACAAAAGTTCGGAAAAGATCCTAAAGGCACCCCAGCGCATCTCTCGCCGAGCAGTCGCATAATATTTTTTTGTGTATTATGTTTAATTATCCGCCGAGAAGTTATGTGTGTATCTCTTTTAGTCTTCATGAGAAAACATACGCGCTAAGCTCTCCGGATACTCTCCTTATCGTTCATCCGGTATTTATCACTTTCTGTGTAAACGGACTGTATCTTGTCGCGAAGAGATAAACTTGATTAATGCAAAAATTCATTCTCTCTCTTCTGTATCCATACACAAATCTTCAAGAGACGTTCTAAAGACGTTCAAAATACGTTCAGAATACTACATCCTAAGGACTTAAGACGTCCCTCGGATAAAGTATGTTGTGTGAGCAGTCGCGTCTAAAAACGAGAACTCTGAAAAAGAAAATTGTTCATTTAACTAAATTAATTTAAGCCGTCTTAATTTTTTTTATAAAGAATGTATGTATTTAAGTTAAACATATTATATTTGACTTAAATACATACATTCTCCAACGAAAGAAATAAAGACAAATTAATTTAGTCAAATAAACAATTTTTTGCTCAGTGAAGGACAACGAAGATATTAATACGATAAGAAGTATACGGCGAGATTATATACGCGATAAAATAAATTATTGAATGAAAAATGGAATCGCATCATTGTTTGAGCGTGCTTTAGGAATAGAAGAAGCGAGAAATTTGTTCCTTCCTCTCGAACGATTCGTACCAATCACAATACATATATTCTATACACACATATATTAAACAGCTTTGCATTATGTCGATCAGCGACCGTTTTTTTAGAACATACTCTTGAATATATTTTTTCTTTCTTTTATCTTCTTTGTCCATATAATAACTTTCCACATATAATAAAACTTTCCACATATTCTGTCTCTTCGAACTTTTAATTATCACGTTCTTTAACTTGATCGTTCAACGATCATCACACTTCTTTATTCTAGCTTCCATTTTTGTGTCTCAACTCGCAGTCTTTCTAATTAACATTCAATTTATCAATACTGCTTGTAATATTCATCGCGTACCCTCCAGAATTACTCCTTTTTATTTTGCCTAAAGATAAAAATGATCGAAAAAGACTAAAAATTTTAAATAAAAAAAACTCGATTTTTTTATTTAGAAATATTTTTTTTTAAACATTTAATGCTATCTTTATCCTTCAGTTTTCCAAAAAATTTCTGTATCAAGATAGCTATAAATCAAAATGTAGTACAATGACTAAAGTGGCGGTGGCAATGGACACATTTAAAGTTATAAAAAGTAATACAGATATAAAATTGATTTTTTATATCCATCGTTAAAACGTTTTATATATGTATTATTTTAGTATTAATAATATCGAAATAATACAGATAAAGCGTTTTAACGATGTATATAAAAATGAATTTTATATCTCTTGTGCAGGATTTTAATAAAAAACAGTTTTTTTACGATAAAAATCTTCTTTACTCGATTTTTTCTTTGAAGCTTAAACCCATTCTTTCTCTAATTTCGCCTTTTTACTTATTGAATTATAACGGATCATTGTCATTGCACAATCAAACTCTATTACATGAATTAATTAAATAAATAATTTGCAATTACTAATCGAAAGACACATATAAAGCAACTGTTCTAGAAATTTTTACAACAAATATAAAAGATAATCAGAGAGGTAAAGAGCACTCAATATTGTAACTATTATTTGATCTTCTCGTTATCAAATGCGCAATAGGAACGCTAATATCGCCGACATAACGCAATAGGCATTTTTTAATTTTACAGCCTAGAGTGTCTAGACGATAGGAAAATGATATATCTTTCTCTCACTTCTTCAGTACCAAAGCGAAAGATATGACAATTGCATTAATTCCTACTATCTCGCAATGCATACAGAGTATCAATTGAATTGTCGCGTCGCCGACTTGCCACTTTGTATTACTATTTCTCTTTATTCTTTACGGACAATGCATTAAACTATTTCTATTATCTAGATTATCGTAAGGACTTCACGCGGAGGGTACACAGAATGACACTAACAAAGGGAAAAATGTACAAGGTACCTTTTTTCTCCTATTAAATATTATAGTTTGTCTTTTTTTCATGCTAAAGCTATATTATAGACTTGTCTTCATATTATTGTCTTAGTGCTACGCCAGATTCTCGCATCCCTCGTTCTCGTTCCCGGTTCTCAAGATTCATGGTCCGGAAGAATTATACTTTGAGGTTCGACTACATAAATCTCGTAATTCTCTACTGAATTTATCCCGTATCAAAGTTCTTGTTTATACGTGGAAGCGTTTACTAGAATCTGCAAAGATTGCTCGATAATGCGTTCGTTTCTCTGATTCTTCGTCGCTGGTTCACCTCAGAGAGAGAGAAGAGTGCTTAGACTCTATATACAAAAACAAAAAAAAAAGACCGAATCTCCTCAACGTTTCCTCGACGTAGCCACAGATACCGAACGTATCTTGATTCGAAGATCTCGACCTAATAGTACTCGTTCTGAAGATAAACGTTATTGACTAGCCCCCTACCGGTTGCCACTGATCATCCATATTACCAGGAACGTTGCTCGATCGTGAACAATCGAGGCACTCAAGTATTTTTTCGGGGAATGTCTATAGGGACTAGGAATTTGTCTTTTAGTGGGCGTCTTCCAGAATTTCGCGGACGACCGTTTAGACTTTCTTTTACGCGGGACAATTATCGACGGTGGGCATCGAGTTGCGACAAAGTCGTTGACTAGTCCCCTACTGGTTTCGCTCGATTTTCCACCTAGTCGGGAGAAGAATGGGCAACACCATTCTCTAGGGAATGTCTACAGGGACCAAGGTAATGCTTTATTCGGGCGTCCTGCAACGTGCAGGAGTTCTACGGGAGATCGTTAGGAGTCCATGTGTCGGTATTTGTGCGCCGACATTTGCGCCAGACCTAATACCGCATATTGACACTGCAAACAATGATAATGCGTCTGTTTGCCAGAGTGTTGACACTGTACAGCTCCACACGGTTGACTGGGCGTAAACTTTTGGAAACCCGCCGCTGCGATACTGTCCAGCTTGGCATGTTGTCGCCGATGAGCGACCACCTTATTCGTGTCCGTACAAACGAAGTCGCACTTCAAACAGTGAAAATGTGACGCCTTGTTCTGCATTGATCCGAGGGACGATGTATACGCGCATTGAGCCCTGCCACATGGCACGTTAGCCCGATACTGCTGGAAATCACCTCCCATCAAGGTATCTAGCCGTTCGTGCCTTGCGGTATGTTGCACAAATCGAGTTTTGTCGCAGAACGAATAGCCACAGTCTTGACGCATGCAGTGGAAGTGAGTTTGATGCTCTCTGTAGCCGCAATGAGGATACCTGCAGTCCTCGTTGAATCTGAATCTGTAACAGCAATAAAATAAATTTGAATTTTCAACCAACCATTAACAAAACAATTGCTACGTTCAGATTATTTATTTTGCAACTGTTGGAAGTTTTTTTTACTAAGATAGAACTATTCCTGTAGATCTAAAAGTATATCCAATCAGAAAACGTAAAGAGGACTTCCAATAGCAATTATACCAACCTGACATATCCTTCTGGTACAGGCTCGTCCTTCAGCATGCGCATTGAATGATGAAGTCTTTGCTTCTTGGCTTCCGGCGAATTAGCGTCTGGCGGTGAGAGAGATCGTTTATTCAAATTAAGATTAGCTGCCAGCGAAGCTAGGGGATTTTCGTCTCTCGCAGGTGGGAGAAAATTGGTCGGTGGTAATCCGGGCGCAAACATCAGTCCAGGTGCACCGGCATACATCCCACCGTGCTGAAGAAACGGCGGTAAGGCCTGATTCATCAGAGCGATCTGTTGGTTCATCGCGGCCATCACAGCGGGGCTCGGAAAGTGAAAGCCATGGCTGAGATCGAGTTCGAAGCTTGTCGGTATCGAAGGCTGTTGCACATTGCTAGGCTGAATTGGTGGTTGCGCCAATTGACCGTTTTCGTGATTATCTATCGCAGTATTGTTGCCTTCGTCCCTACATGCAATTTCGGACGGTTCCCGTTTAACGTTTGGGACATTTTGTACACCAATATCGATACTACATCTCGGTTTCTCCAACTTGATGTCTTTCGATTGAGACTGTTGGTTGAGAGTCTGCTGCATCTGCCGTTGCATTTGGCTCTGAAAATTCTGAATGTTTTGAGCCATTTGAGCGTTCGGTGACATAAAGTCGTGCTTCTGCGACAGCTGCGTGATGTAATCATGCTGCAGCTGATTAGGCGACGGGCTAACCATGTCGTGTTGCTGCTGGCTGAGAATGGCACCGGTCGAATGCTTCGCTATATGCGCAACCAAGCGATCTAACTCGGAGAAAGCCTGATTACACGCGTTGCAGTGATAATGATTCTTGCGTTTCAGCTTGCAGAAGGGCCTGCTACAGCTTTGCTCCGGTCCATACAAGGTGTGCGGCGAGGTAGTGCTCATAGACGGCATAACCGGCGATTCTGCAATGTCAAAGATTTCTCTGAGTTTGGATCGCACGCCCGAAAACGCGATAGACGTAAGAGAACTAATTTACTAATACAGAAACACTCTCAAAAGCACAAAACTTGGTCGAAAAGAGATAGACGAACCTTGGTGCACGGAAGTTCGCATGGATAGCACGACGCCCGGAAGTGCGGGTTCGCTCGGCGGTCCGCTGACCGGATAATAGGTGCCAGCCGCCCTCACCACTAGCAACAATCAACCAAACAACCAACACTTCAAATATACAGCCCGCTATGAATACAACCACCGTGTATATAGTATATATACATGAGAAAATAAAACAAACACTCTCATGAGACAAAACAACAGAAGAATAGCGAAGAGTATCCTACTTCAATGACAAACGCAAAATGTGACGTATAAACTGATGTGCGACTACGTGCAAGAAAAGCATGCATATGTACTTGAGTGGAAGAAAGTATTTGATATGTTCTTAAAAAAAAAAAAAAAAAAGATTATTGTTAAACGAAACTTGCCCAAATATTATGGTGCACTGATCAGTACGCTCTTTTTTCATACTTACCGGTAGTCTTGGCACTATCGGGACTCGCGAGCTCGGATTCCTTATCCTCGATTATCGATCTGCTCTCCTGGTCAGCTACCGTCAAACTCTCATCAGGCTTCTCGATCAATTCGGCAGGATTCTTCACCTGGATTCTAGGTTTCGTCTCCTGGACCAACGATTGAAGCTGTGTTTGACATTCTTGATTACTTGACTCTTGACCACAGGGCTCGACGTGACCGGAGGAGTGTTGCTTCTCATGCAATGCCATTGTTGAATATCTAACGAACGAGTACCCGCAATTTGGTCTGGTACAATGGAAATGTCGATTAACGCGATTACTGTGACAGCCAGCCAGTCGACAGTCGACCATCTTATCATAGAAGGCAAAGCCCGGTGGTATGTCGACATTGTCGTGGAAATCCTTACTATGCATGAGCAATTGGTCTGGCCGATCGGTGGAAAAATGACACCGTAATTGGGAACAATGATGATGCCTGGTTGATCTAAGCACGCAGGCCGTGTCCGGACATCCTTCTGAGTTGTACGTAGCGAATCCGTCAGGTTCGCCCAAACTGTTCGAGGGCGACACGCTGCCTTCTCGATCATCCATTAGCATATTAGATATTAAATTAGGAGTTTGCGGTTTGGGGAGCTTAAAACTCGTAAAGATCGCTTGCGGCGAATCGTGAGTATGTGTCGCGGGGTCGCCGCCTGACCAGATTTCTATCACGCGGTTTTTAGGAGGTCTACCGCGCTTCCGCCTGAACATCGCGTCGATGTTTGTCAGGTGGGTCAATGTGACATCAGAGGAAAGAGCATGCGAGGAACAAGAGAGATTTAATTGTCGGCTGTACTCGTGAATCTTATAATGCTGCAATCTACGAAATGGCTTGTCGGTAGAAAGTATCACTTCTCGGCAGTTCTCCCAATTGCAATGATAATGCTTCTCTTTGTCCGCGTACGGACAATTATCATCGCAGCCGCCCTCTTCAAAGAAAGCGTCCGTTATGCGTTCCTGCGTCTCATGTTCCTTCAGATGTTCTCTGACTTCCCGGGGATCCTTCAAGGTCGCTCCGCAGCGGTCTAATCCGCAATGATGGTGCTCTCTGCTGGCGTTACAGGCGCAATCCGAAGTGGCCGGTATCAGATAGGCCAATTCGGCGGCGGTGAGTTGTTGAGATTGTTGCTGCTGCTCAAGGTTAACGGAACTTCCGCTGGCCGTAATGGTCGTAGTCGGAGCGGTGAGATCCATAGCGAGATCGCTAGCACTTTGAAAAGAATCTTCCAAAGAATAGTACGACGGAGAACCTCGGCCTTCGTTCGAGCTCTCACCGTTCAGACTTAAAGATAAACTTTGAGCACTTAATTCGTCCGGCGCCCATGACCCAGGTGGACGAATACCACCTACCGTAGTGACCGGCTTGTACTTCCGATAAGCCAGTTCTGTATCGTGACGGTCGTGTTTTCGTTTGTGCGAAAAGAGCTGACCGGACGAGTGCAGAACGTAGCTACAGTGCGGTCGTATACAATGAATGTGATTGCAAACCCGAGAGAATCGGCACTGATCGAAAGGGCAGGCTTCCGATTTCATAAACTTCTTGAAACCGTCGCGTGCTAGTTGCTCGTCCTTGATGTGGTAAGACTTATGCTTGTCTGAAAAAGAAAAATAAAAGAAACCTTGTAGACCAAATCACGGAAATTCGAAACAACAATATTAGATGTCTTCTAATCAGAGACTGATCCCTTTTGATTAGTTCTGATAATTCGCATTAGTTAGAGCGAGATGGCACATATCTCTTTTCACTTGCAGGATTTTGCCAGAACATGAATGGCTGTTATGGTCAGTCATCTCTGATTAGAGTTTGTAGAGAATATAACAAGATATGTTAAATAAAAATTTATCAACGTAATTGTTTCTCAGTATACGAATTAAATCTGTAACGTTTGACATATTATATAAGTTTGCAGTAAAAGGATTTGATTGACGATAGGTGCGATCGAGAACATGGGCGACCGTTAGTCACGCAAGCATTCTTACCCATATCGGCTTTATTTTTGAATGTGAACCGACATCCCAGTCGACGACAGTGAAAGTGCGTGGTACGTTGTCCAACAAACGGACAATGGTCAGTCGCGCAACTCTCGGTGGCCCGAAATCGCTGGAAGCCTTCTTGTATGATGGCCGAGTCTTTGCGATGGTAATTCGCGTGCATTTGCACGTCCGATGTCGATATATACACCTTGTCGCAATTCTCGTGAATGCAATGATAGTGAGTTTGCTTTCTATTGTGCGGACAGGACCGGCCAGGGTGCTTTTCCGAGCAATCGTCCGTCGGCGAGTACCTCATGAATCCGTGCTGCAAAGACTCGTCTCTCTTCTTATGCCACTTGAAGTGCCTGATCATTTCCTCCTTCTTCACGAACACTCTTCCGCTACAATCCAGACAATGAAAGTGCTCCCTGCAACCCAGTTCCTTGCAGTACGTACTGCCGCATTCTTGACTGGATGAATATCTTCTCACATATCGGGAATAATCGATGATTGGTTGGGACACTGATGTCTTGGAACCACTCATCAGAGAATCCGCCACCGGAGACATACTCTGCCTGAGCAACGCTGCGACAAGTGAGGGAGGATCTAATTTATTAAATTAAAATGACTGGTACGTCGACGTACAAAAATATTTCTCTTATAAAAATTAAATCAAATAAACCCCCATGGCGTTTATCACTCATATATGTTTATGTCAATCTCAATTGATTTTCATTTAATAAACCAAATAAATAAGAATATCTCGACAGCAATTGTTCGTTTCTATTTAACTCAAAGTAAATATACAGGGTGTTTTCAAATTCATGCCTGCGAAGTACAAGACGTCAAATTTTATGCTAAAACAAACAACTTTTTCCTTTAACAAAATTGCGTCCGATAAATAATTTTTGTGTTTATTTGTTAACTTCAATCTGCTCTCCTGCAAAAACTACTTATCGGACGCAATTTTGCAAAAGGAAATAGTTGTTTGTTTTAGCATAAAATATCGTGTTTTGTACTTCATGGGCGCGAGTTTGAAAACACCCTGTATATATTACATCAACATAGTTTTACTTAGCGCAAAATATACTATAGTATCAAAATATTTGCGAAGTACTATAAATCTAAAAGTTGTATCAAATTTCGAATTCAAAATTGAATGTGATCTAGAAATTTGCGCGACGTTTCCATCTCAGGTTATCTGTGAGAGAATCTTATTTATTAAATTAAATCGACTATTAAGTCGATGTACGAAAAAATATTTCAAAACATTAAGTTAAATAAACAAGAATATCTTGACAAAAAAAAATTCTTCATTTTTATTTAAAGTGAATATTACGTTAATATAATTTTGATTTAGCATAAAATAATATAGTAATATAACAAAATATGTAAATGCTACAGTAGTATAATATAACAAAATATTTGTAAAATACTAAAAATCCAAAAGTTGCATCAAAATTTTCAAAGCTCAACGAATCTCAGTGGATCACAAACTGTCCTAGAAATCTGCGCGAGTTCTTTTCGGCTTTCCGTGCGGTAGTCAGATAGGTATTCGGTCGATACTAGCTGTAGGCCGCTGGTATACATTCCCCTCCACAGGCAACCATCTTATTTTACCGACCGTGTATTCTTGGGCGATACTATCATTCTGGATAATACGGTTCGCGTTCACATCGCCAGAGGAGTCGCGCATACCAGAATGACTTCTGATACACATACCGCGAGTTATGAGCACGCCGTTCGTCGACCTATGGCACTCTCCCGCGCGACCGAAAACTGGTTGTCCGATGGGCGCGCGTATGGGAATGCCGCGAAATAAAAGAGAGAGGGCAAAAAAAAGGAGAGCGCGGGAGAGGAAAGAATGGTCGGTGTAAAAAAAACTATCGGGCCGATCGCAATACGCATATGCAAAAAGCGCGGCGTGGCCGCGGGCAAAGCGGGAGGCGCGTAAGCATTTACCTCGGCGCGCGCGTTCATAGCTCTCCTAAAAGACTCGAAACGGCCGCGGCACGCAAGAAAATATTGAGCGCGAGACGCAATTCGGTTGACCAATCCTCGCTCGCGATAATTATCTCCCGAGGTAATGCGCACACGAGAGATGGAAATAAACTGTGCGCGCACACCATGCCATTCTCTTCCTTTTTTTTTTTACCTAAACGAATAATTCCACAGTTAAAGCACTCTCAAGCGGCCGCATTTGCATTTCTTGTCAGAATGTATTTAAATTTTATTATTCGGGTATGTCGAATACCGTGAACAGCAAACCTCTTTTACAAATTTATTTGTGCTGTTTGCTGGGTATTAGATTGATATATTGTATATCGAAGAAATTTAAATCTATAAAATTAAGTGCGATGTATAAAACGATCATTACAACAAGTTAACCTTTTGAAAAAAATAAAAAAATATGTAAAATATAGGTGCTTCTCAAACAAAAAAATGTTGTACCAAATTAAAAAATGAAACCCAATGGTACTATTTTTCATTAAAAAAAAAATAAAACCTAAGTAGTGAAAACCTCATACAATACAAAAGCTTGCAGCAACATTGCTGCAACATTGCTGGAATAATCTGTGCCATGTAGGGATGTATATATTTTTGTATTCCTAGTGAAAAGACTTCTTATTCTATTATAATTCAAACGCGATAATAGCTTCAATTTTTGTAAAATATTGAGCAGCATGAAATGAGTGACATATGAAAAGATGATTGTATATAATAGTTAGACCATATCAACGAATTAAAAACAAAGGCGTGTTGCGACTGCTTTTCTTTGATTTATCGGACGCCACGGAGCCGATCACAGAACGATAACAAATCATGTGTCACATTGCCCGAAACCGGAGTGTCCTCCGAGCCTCGAGTGTCCTAATCCCACCAACATCTATCACACGCGTCATCCAGCATTCGGTGCACCCTACCAGGACGAGGCTGATTCTCAGAAATTCCTACTTGCTCTTGCTGACTGCAAGGCTGCGCGCGCGTTTGAATGCCCGCGTGTTCAGGAACGAGTTTAAAAATTGTCGAATATTTCTCGTGGCTCAGGTATATGTGCCCGTCAGGAACGGAGGGAACGCGCGTACATTGACTGCCCGTACGTTTCTGCAAGAGCGTATTTCGGTACAAAAAGAGAAAGAGTTCAGTCTTCAGAGGGAAAGAAAGAGAGAGAGAGAGAAAGAGAGGGTGGAGAGAGAGAAACTAAAAAAGAAAAAAAGAGAAGAAAATAAAAAAGAGGGACGAGTGTTACGAGAAGGAAAAAAGTGTGGCGAGGGAGAATTCGGCACACATTATTCTCCTGCGTTATAATAAAAAATGTACATCTCTGAATGCAAGCAGCGATCGAGTCTTTTGTCTCACATTACTTCTTTGCGAATCCGAAAGTTCTACTGGCACTCACGTGGATCGAATCGCTCTCCGGCGAAGTCGAGTAACTCCGGCCGATTTAATAATAAGCGCCGGTGTCACCGGATATGCTTCCAGTTACGCGCCGTTGCGTAACATTCGGTTACGACGATTAACTTATCCTTTGGCTGGGTAATTACGCAACGCAGCTGCGTATCTCGATGTCACGTATCTCGCATAGCTGCTCATTAAAAACACCTTTGGCTTTCACGCTGCGGGAGAAACTATTGTTTGCACAAATTTATAATCCGCGCTGGTTGCCGACCGGTATATATGTGTTTGCCGGGTCGAAGCTTCAAGTACGTAATCGAGAAGTGCTCTTTCTCGGGCCAAGGCTTAACGTACAATAAGGCATCATCATATTAATTGAGGATAAATATTAAATAGCCAGTTCTCGGGAGAATATGACATGCACATTGCACGGTTTTGATTAACTTCTCTATATCCAAGAATGTCAAATATTTCGATGGCTTATTATGCAAACCGGGAAGCGTGCCAAAATCGTGATGGTATGTAAGTGAAACACACCGCGGCCTTGAAACGTTTTGAGGAGAAAAAAACCGATCGATTTGCAGTCTCGGTGCAGAACGAATGACGTTATCGTTCAAATTAAAATGCTCGATGATACTGAAAAGAATAGAATATTTCGTATTCCATCATATTATTTTCTTCATTAATTTTATCTTACTCAGTTAAATGAAATAAATTTAATTAATTAGAATTATATTAAAATTAATTAATTTGAATAGCGAGAAACAACAATACTCTCTGAGTCACGGTTCAAGATTTTAGACTTTAGAAAATTAAAAAATTAAACTTCATAAAAGCTCATTACATCTATTATTGTATTGCAGAAAAAAAACGCAAAATGATCTGATGCTCCCCTTTAACGAGAAGGAGGATACCACCCACACGGAACAATCACGCCGTTACTGATGGCACCAAATGGAGAATATGCACGACGTGACGGGGCTTAAAGAGCAAATCTTAAAAAATATGTGAAACCCCCAGGACGACACGTAGCCGGGGTTCCCTTTCTCCTCGCATCCAACGGCTTTGAGCTCAAACCCTTTTATATGTAGTTCTTAAAGCTGCTCAGAGAGCGGGGAGTCGGGAGCCCGATCTCGAAACCGTAGAGAGATGGAAGCGAAACGGTTGTCCGAGAGGCGCGGCGTAGAGGGAGTCTAAAATTTTCAAAAAGGCCCGAACCTGAAAAGACCCCGTATTTCAGGGTCGTTTTCCTTTTTTATCATTTAATCCGTAGGCCGAGCGAATAACCCTTTATACGAGGTATACGTCGAAAACGGTCGCTGCCTCCATCGCGCACTCACGTGTATCGTTCTCTCTCGCTCTTTCGCTCTGCGCACTTACACGTGTGCTCACATACACGTTTATACGCGCGCACAGAGGGGTTAACGCAACCTACGAAAGTGCGTGTTTGGATAATGCGTGGAGTGCCCGCTGCGCTCGCCGATTCGTCGTCTTAGCCACGGCGACCCCCATTGAACGCTTTTTCTTCTCGAGAGGTTCTAAATACCGGTGAAAAAAAGAAATACATGAACAGGCACGAGGTACGGACGTGCCCTTATTCCGTCGCTTTTTCCTCAACCCCCGGTCTGCGTTAGGTCTGCAACCCTTCCTCAATGGTACTCGTCGCGACATTGTTTCCGGAAAAATGGCTTCGCGAATGGTACCGCCGACCAGATGCGACTTAATAACCCAGAATCAACGCTGGAATACTTCATATCGATTTGCAGCACTTCTGCCGTATGGCGAGCGAACAAAGGCTAATTTCCTTATCTTTATTTTGTTTCCAATATGCAATGGCTGCTACAAGATACTCATTCTGAATGACATAATGAAATATATATTTGACGAAATTACAGTCAATAGACTGTAATTCAAGAGAGACATTTTGCATTGAAAATTTATAATACATATCGTATCTTCAATGTAATCTGAATATATCTGAATATATCTGAATACAATTCGATAATAAGTAACTGAATGTGTTAATAGCGATCGCTTGTATTAATAAAAGTCAATCGACGACTGTAGTGACTGATAGATTTCCAGCGTCTGTTTGAACGACAGCAAGCTCGGAGTATGTCGGCGCCAGCATCACTCGTACAAAGGGAGAATATGGGGAAAGAGGAACGAAGAGAGAAATGGAGAAAGTG